AAAAAAAAAAAAGAAGAAGAAAAGAAAAGTAGAGAAAAAGGCTCCTCACCTCCTAGAATACAAGGTTGTTCACTCTGTGGCTCTGGCACTTACTTGGACAGACAGCTGCCCAAGTACAACAGTGACCAGGAGCCTGAACCTGCATGGCCAGACCCCTCTCGTGTTGCTTATGAGACACACTTGGCTCACCGCCATGTGCCTAGAGCCAAATTGAGGGGAGCACGGTCTCATTGTGTAGTCCGCACCATTCTGCCAGTCGCACTCGGAAGCTTCCTAGAGCTGTTGAGCAGGGGAGCTGCTGGCTGCCATCCACTGTCTGGTGAAATGGCATCCCAGACACTGAGCCCCCTATGAGGCCTGAAGAACCCTGTATGGACCCTCTCCCTCAGAGAGGGAAACCAGATAGAAGCCCTCCAGCCCAGGATAGAGGCCCATTCTCCACACCCCCAGCTGCTAGGGGGTGGCAGTGGGAGCCTAGACAGCTGCTTCCTCATCAGCTCACTCGAGTGTGAGGATGGAGCAGTTTCTTCCCAGTGCCATGACCCCATGCAGGTCCCTTATTGGGCATGCAGATGCCAGCTGGCCTATTCTAGAGGGGTGGTTTGGGGGGGGTCTCCGCCAGTAGGTAGGCACCCCAGGGCAGAGTCTACAGAATGCTCCGTCAGCCAAGGGTTCTGTGGGAGATGCACATTTGGGGACCAATGCACACAGAGACCTCACCGGGAAAGGAGAGATTTGGGGAGCTATTGAGGAAAGAAATGTGTTCTTCCCAGCATCCCTCAGTGCTGGTAAAGCATTTGACAGTTGGCCCTTATAGTAATCCCACAGATAAACTGTAGGAAACATTCATTACATGATAGGTTGACTCTGTCCTAAAAGCTGTGCTGTGAAAACCACTAGGCCCTACGTGCCTGCTGTGTTCTCAGCCACGTGTCATAGCCACACCTCACCCAGCTGGGGATGGGACTGGAGGGTGCCAGGTCTGGCTCTTGGTACCCTGCCCTGCACATTTCTGAAGTGCTGGGCCCCGCCTCCATCACCTGTGGAGTAAGGACACTTGCTTACTTCATTTCAAGTGGCCATGACACATCCTCTTACACTTTCCTCAGCAGCAGACATGTGTTGTGCAGACTTTGCATTCTGCTATATAATGTTCCTGCAGTCTCAAGGAGAAGGCAAGAGTTCTCTATGGGGGACACACTAATATAGCAGTGTCCATTCTGATAGCAGCTTCCTACAGTATCCTACTCCCATCAGTCAGGGGCAGCTCAGCTGACCTCCCAGCCTGCCCTTGGAAGACGTTCAGGGGCCTCAGTGCTGCTTGTTTATTCAGAGTGGTAGGTGGTGGGGTCTGGCAGGTCCTAACTCAAGAGTGGAAAGAGCTTGGTCCCAGGAGCATTCTCTGGAGTTATTCCTGCCTAGACTGGTGTTGAACTGCCTGTCCCATGTACCACAGCAACCCCCAAGTGGCCAGCATGTGGCCTGGAAAGAGGGCTTAGCAGGGAGCCTCTGGGCTCAATTCTATCCTAGCACTGGCCTGCAGGGTCCCACTCAGGGCACTATGGACTCTACCATGTGACTTTCCAGAGCCATCAGAGTCAAGACAAAAGCTTTCTCTCAGTGGGTCTACAGGTGTGAAAAATCGTAGGCTGCAGGCTCATTGGGCTCACTGGGCTCACTGAAGGAGTGCTCCATTGAGCTGACAACTTGAAGGATTTCCCTTTAAGGAAACTGTGACCTCCATATGCGGGCTGTCTTGCCTCTTCCTGTGTTTCCAGAGAGGGCCCCACTTGGAAGGGAAGCGGCAGGCAGAGGCACTCACGGTCGGGTCTCAGTTAGTGGGACCCCATGATGGTGTGTCTGGGTGTCCACATCCCCTCACGGAGCAGCCTAATTAGGATGCTAGCCAGTCACCAGCCACAAGAGGTAGATGGTGTCCTGAAGGACTCACCCTTGCAGCAGATACCACAGAAGGAACAGGGCTGCAGCATGTCCCCCTGCCTGCAGTGTCTTGCCAAGAACAAAAGGAGCTTTGAACAGCTTTACTAGTTTATTCAGTTCAATCCAGGGCAACTGTTTTAAAAATCCACACAAGATCTGCATAATGTCATGCATAAATGATCAGCACAAGATAGGTAACAGCTGCAGGTGACCCCTGACTCACTCAAGCTCCTGTGGTTTTGTCCTCAACAGACCTTCCCAGAAGATGTGAAGACATATTCTGCCTTCTAAGTCTCTGAAACAGAAACACTTGCTTTTTGAGACTTGTGGACAGGTACTAGATGAGTGTGTGTTCCACAGTGGAAAGGGCCTCAGCGTGTCTGAGGGTGCTTGTTTTATGAGCACCAGGAAGGCTCTACCTGAAATGAGGGCAAGCTCATAATGACCCCAGGGCAGCCTGTGGAACCTCTCTCCAGGCAGAGGTCATAGTTATAATACTTACAAAATCAGGCTAACCTTCCAAGAACCAAATTTCTAATTTACAAATGGCTGTCCCATCTGAGCTGCCTGTGTGGATTTGTTTCTGCAGCTCCCAAGAGTAGCTTCACCCCTTTTCTCCCCAGAAGCTCTGGGGCAACGCTAACGTCTCCCCTCCTAGTGAGCATGCCCATGTCCATGGTCAGCTCCCATAGAAATTGTTGGCCTCATGCCTCAGAACTGGAGGCTGGAGCTGGGAGAGCATTCTCTGGATGAAACCAGAGAACAAGAAACTAAGACTACTTTCTCCTGATCAGAGCACTAGACATGTATGTGGTCCTGTCTCTACCATGTGGCACTATCACTGGGCACCTAATGTGGGCCCTGATGCTATTAGCCCACACCAGGCCAACAGTTCTGCAGGTGCACTTTCCACAGTCCATGTGTGGTGCTCTGGGAGAAGGGGCACCAACTGGCCCAGAAAAGTGGGCAGCAGGAGAGGGCCCAGCATGGCCCTCTTAAAAGACTCAGGCCAAATAAGGGCCTGTTGCCCTTCCAGCCTTGGAGAGCCACCCTTTCAGAAGAGCCAGCCCATCTTGGCCCTGCCAGGACACAAGGCAGGAGTGATACTGTTTATTAGGAAAGCAAACACATTAAATCAGAAGAGCCTTTTCAACAAGGCTCTGTGGAAGTACAGACATGCACTAGAAGGCAAGTATGTCACAGACAAATGTCTGTAGGGGACATAAAGGACCCATCCTTGGGAAGATGGAGGGGTCTTCTCTGGCCCCGCAGGGCACAATGTCCAGGCTCCCCATAGGTGCTAAAAACTTACAGTGGGACTCCTCAGCACAGCTCCCTGAGGCCCCTTAACATCTCTGAGCTGCATGTTAACATCTGTGTTCTCAACAGCATTTCATGTCCCAAAGACCTCACACAGGCTATCTGGAATTCCATAGCACAGACAACCCAGACCCTGCAGTGATTCTGAACTGTTAAAAGAAATGTAATCAGAGCACAACATAGCCCAAAGACCATAAGAACAAAAATGTGCTTCTCTAGGTTGCTGGCGGGGAGTGGGGTCAACATAATGTATAACAGCTCAGAGTGTTGTGGGGTATGTGGGGTCCAAGAACATGGGGGAAGGTCTAGCAAATCCCTTCAGTGAAAACACTGCAACCACACTGTGCTAAGTCACTGTGTAAAGTAGGGACCCTGTGTTGGCAGAGGCCTGGAGGGCCCAGCAAGGGAGTACACGTGGGATCTGACCTTCCCACCCCTGCAGTTTCTTGGTGTCCTAACAAACAGGGCCTACACTTGGCCTGTGCTGACTCCTAGACCCACCTACCCACAGACCAGACCAAGCCAATGGCCTGTCTAGACAAGAAGTTCCCTCCAAGCTGTCCCTCCTGCCTCCTTGGGCCACAAGCAGCAACAAGCTGGGAAGGATCAGCTGCTAGGCCCCAGGCCTGCTGCTGACAGAGCCCAGAGGGTATTGACTCAGGCTAAGAGGTCATTCTATGGTTTGAGATTGAGTCCTTTCCCAGCTTGGTGGCCCCACTGCATCAATGTGTCTTGGACGCCATGCTGGCTGGGAAGAGAATTTGAACCTAGTAACTTCAATTAACTCGGCCTCCTCAGTGGGCACCTTGCACCGCTCATGGATGTACCTCCTTAGCCTTGGCTAGGCCTCACCCTTGGAAGTCTCCCACAAGGACTGGCAACTTTGACATCAGCTGCAGCACCCACCTCACCTGCTGTACTGACTTGTGCCCTAAGCTCCTGCCTACCCCTCACCAAGCCAGGCCACCCAACTTCCCCCAGGGCTGGGAAGGGAAGCACCAATCTGCCTTCCTGCTCCCAGGTGATCGCCACAGTCCCTGCCTTATCACCATCAGACGTGCCCCTGGCAGCCTGGAAGAGCCTCTTGTTTAACTACCAGATGTTCCACCTTCTCAGGAAAATCATCCGGATTATTACATTAAGACAGGAGTACAACTTTGGTCTTGAACTATCTGGCAGTATGTAAGCAGTCTGGGGTACAGTCTGCATTTTTGAGTCTCCCCAAATGCAAGCAATTTGCTCCTGACTCCCAGGCACAGGCCCACCACCAGCCCCCAGGCCCTCAGACGACCTGTAGGCTACGCTCATGCCCATCTAGCTGCACCTTGAGCTTGTGCAGCTCCTCGATCTCACGGTTGTGGCGCTCTGTCTTGTGGCGCACCAGCGAGCGGTAGAAGTGGATGGTGAAGACCACAAAGATGAGGCCCACAGGCACCATAATAATGGTGGACACGAGGGCAGCCTGCCAGCCTGTGTGGCTGCCGGGGCCGGGCTGGCGCCTGGCATCCACAGGGAGAAACTTGATCCAGCAGAGCAGAACCACCTCAGCCAAGAAGAGCAGGATGCCCAGCACGGTGGAGAAGCCCCAGGCCAGCTCAATGTAGGGGTGCATACGCTCATGTGGTGACTCACTAATGGAGTTGAGGTTGTGGATGTTGCTCACAGCCTCCACGTTTGGCAGGATGCATGTGCTGATGAGCAGAGCAAACAGGTGCACGGCCACCAGTATCGTGGTGCAGGCGCTGAAGGCAATGAGCAGCGGCCGCGGGTACTGGTACTGCGTCTCCAGCTGCACCTCCACCATGGCTACCTGCATGGAAGAACAAGGTTGGGTGGGGTGGAGAGAGCAGGGTGCACCCCCACCATGGCCCCCTCCAGGCAGAGCAGGGCCAGGCAGTGGGAAAGGTTAGGGCACACCTGGACTCACCTACTAGAAGCCACCTCATGTTCTGGGACCTTGAAGACCAGATGGCCTCTCCTTAATGTTTAAATATTTCAAACTTCCCTTTTTTTCTGATTAGCTACAGAAGATCATACTAAGGAAAAATCTAAAAAGTATGGAATAAAGACACAACAAGCCGATCGCCCTCAGGTGCCCTCCCAAACACAGATGTGAGGATGCCTTTGGGGTTGCCAGTGAGGATCCAGGGCAGAGGCCTACTCCCTTTGATGTCGTCAGACCCAGGGCAAAAATGGCTTAGCTGCAAAAAACCAAACAAACAAATAAACACACACAAAGGCTCGGCACCTGTGGCTCAAGCGACTAAGGTACCAGCCACATACAACTGATGAGCTGGTGGGTTCAAATCTAGTCTGGGCCTGCCAAACAACAATGATGGCTGCAACCAAAAAATAGCCGGGTGTTGTGGTGGGCACCTATAGTCCCAGCTACTTGGGAGGCTGAGGCAAGAGAATCACTTAAGCCCACGATTTGGAAGTTGCTGTGAGCTGTGATGCCAGCACTCTACCCAGGGTGACAGCTTGAGGCTCTGTCTCAAAAAACAAACATACACACACACCAAAAAAACCCCAAAACAAAACAAACAAAAAAAAAAACCCTTGCTCTTCTTCAAAAAGTAAAAACTGACTTTTCAAAAGGTAAAAATAGGGACTCCTGATATTCCCCAGACTCAGAGCTGCATACTTGGATGTCCTCCTGCAGATCACATGAGCATCTCACAGCTGAGACCAACAGCAGAAGGAAAGAAGTATCTCCAAAGCCCAGGGAAGGTGAGAGAGGTGAGGAGAGGAGAGAAGCTGTGGGAAGGAGGCTGGGCCAAGGGAGGAAACAGTCACCAGCAGGCAGAGGGTACCCACAGGTAAGGCCTGAAATGGATGAACCAAGCACCATGGTCTCTGCGTGTCACCCAGAAACCAGAAGCTGCAACTAAGCGCCCTCCACAAGGGAAAGGGGATGTGGCTGCTAGGATTTGTTGTAAGCATTTTAGCAGTACTCAATTTTTAAGCTATATCCACATATTATACATCGATGAAATAAAAAATTACTTTTAAAGGAAAGGAAGAAAAAGCCCCAAAGAGGGAACGGGAAGCCTCAGCATATCTATATGGCAGATGGTGTCTGCAGCCACTGCCTGCTCACCATGCACCCTAAGGGTTTCACAGCATGCCCTTTCCACGCTTCCCCTGCAGTCAAACCAAGGCCATACTCAATGGCACCTTCCCAGGCTCACCACCTGCCCCCAGCACTGTGGACCACCCATAGGGAGGGTTTAATACAGCCCGCCTAGGACTGTAGGGCTCACCGGGGACACCTGCAGGGCCTCCTCCCCCACAGCCAAAGGCAGATTAGTCAGAAGGGGGCAGGGAGCCAGAAAAAGAAAAGAAAGGAAGGTTTTTCTACCGACTTCCTGTTTGCCTTCTAACTCAAACCATCCATTTTTACAAATATATAAGACAGACAATTTCAAAACTTTCCTTAGCAACTACTACCTCTTGGAGAACCTTATCCCTTCACCTCACTTCATCAAATGATGGAACATCTGGTAGGCAGAAGACGACAAGGCAGTCCTAGTAGACCAGATTTGAAAAGCAACTCAGTAGTGATATGGCAAGACCACTGTAACAAGAATCTGCAAAACAGTAGTCACTGTGGTGTTTCCTTCATCCCTGTGGCTCTGAGTAGGCTTTTACTACCATAAAGGATATGGCCCAACAAAGGTATTACAAACTACAGAGACAACTAAGGTGATAAAAATGTAGGGGATCCCAAAGCTGCAGATGTTGCTGCAGGTGCTGGTGCAATGGAGAGAAAGGAACACTTTTACACTGCTGGTGGGACTGCAAACTAATACTGAGAGAACATAGAGAACATACCCAGGAAGGGTGAGGTCTAGGAGAACAAAGGTCTTCTCAAGGAGACCACAAAGATACACCTGCAGGGTCCTCTCCATGGTGACTCAGCTCTTAGGAATTTGTAGACTTGACTTCCTACGACCTGGAAATTTCCACTTCTGTGAAATCCTGTAGTTCTGTGGGGGCTATAACAGTTTTTCCCACTTGATTCAAACTGACCATGAGCAAGGTACCTGAGGGCGGCACCTGTGGCTCAGTGGGTAGTGTCCCCATAAGCTGAGGGTGGCAGGTTCAAACCCGTCCCAGCCAAACTGCAGCAAAATATAGCTGGGCGTTGTGCTGGGTGCCTATAGTCCCAGCTACTCAGGTGATCTCTTGCCTCAGTCTCTCAAGCCCAGGAATTGGAGATTGCTGTGAGCTATGACATCATAGCACTCTACTGAGGGCGATAAAGTGAAACTCTGTCTTTTTTTTTGAGACAGGAGCCTCAAGCTGTCACCCTGGGTAGTGTCATGGCATCTCAGCTC